TTGTGAAATTGATATTTAATTCCCCGCGAATTCATTTGTTCATGGCGACGTGTGGGAGAGGAGGCATCGATCTGAACCCTGTAAACCCCTTAACCCTTTCGTTGCCAGACTCTTCCCTGTGAAGGCTCTCCCACCAAAACACACTGTGGAAGGATGGCGCTGTTGTGGGATGAGATGCTGCTAGTCTTACTGCTGCTGATGCTCTGGCTGCTTTCAAGGACCGCTCGTAATTTCTCTAGTCGACACCGCGCGGGACCACTGTGGGTCACGCGCTTACTTGTGGTTACTTGTGGATAACAGGTGCAGAGGCAGCGAGTCAAATGCATTTATAAACCACCCCTCCACGCACTTTCATTGCAAACTCAAGCTGGAAACTATGGCTCTTGTGAATTTCGGCAGCCTTGCAAATACAATCACAAATGTCCCGCGTGACAGTGAAGGCAGCACATAAAAGCGTAATGAGCTTTTGAAATGAGCTTTCAGGGACACCGTACAGATGGTCTAGTTTCAAAGACTCACCAGAAGATGTCAGTATTTGACTTTTTTTTTTTAAAATCCAAACGAAACTGACTTTGTTAGTGTAAAAGAATGGCGTTGTTGTAGCTGCATCCCTCAGAAAGCTTCAGGATTAGCACAGCAGTTTAAGGAAATAGGGTACAATGTATTAACTTAAACGCCTTTTTATAGGGTGCCCACTCAGCTGACTGATACACATGATTGGGAGGCTTTAAAGCAAATGAAAAACAAAGGCAATACCTGAAACAAATATCACTCACTTGAATAATTCCTCCAATGTACAATCGACTTCAGGAACTAAAAATGCTACACATACGACACACATGCTGTAGAAATCCAAACGAAAACACCTGAACTTGGCCTGAGCTGTCTCCCATTAATCCAGGTGTGGATAAGCAGGTGTGGGCGGATCCAAATAGCATCAGATCTCGATGCTATTTGGATCGATGCTGATATCAGATCGATGCTAGCGCAACTCAATACTTTGTTTCTATCTGCTAAGTTCAGTATGTGGCCCACTGAATTATATGAAATAAATGTTGGGTTTTTTTGTTGTAAAAACAGTGTCCAACTACTTGAAAAGGTAAAAGGTTCCACATACAGTGATTTAGTGTTCAGAATTTACAAATTAATTTCGATCATCTCATAAATAATGATGCACTGATTTCCCCCACATAACCTACCTTTACATGTTAAAAGTATTAATATTGCTTTGGTATTGGTGTCTGCAATATTGGCCCTATAGTTACTTGGTATTGGTCCAATACAAAAAATGTCATTGGTTTGAACTAATTGAGTCCTGCACCCATGCTCGAGGGCAGGGAGAGAAAAGTTGAATTTTTCATTATGAAAAAAATCCCACAGATGAGATCTCAAAGCCATCCATGTATTAATTAAGTTCTGAACAGACTAAAACCACGTAGCATATAAAAAGCACAGATATATTATGGACAATTTGCTAAGGTTAAATGCCCTTTTATGTACAAATTAATCAAGCTGAGGATGGTACAGCCTTCCAGGGGTGCAGCACATGTAGTTTTTCCTATTTGCAGTTTTGGAAGATCACTTAGAGTAGACTAAATGAAAACTTTGCATGACTCAATAATGCTAAATTTCCCTTAACTGAACCAATGTGTTATCGCTTACGTACACTAAATAGTGTATCAATCTGCAGACATCATTTAAAAACATGTGATTTATTTGTCTAGACAGATATTTACTCATGGTACATATTTCAGCAGGGTTTTTTTTCCTGACCTTGTAACCTTTTCACTGAGGCTTATCTCTCTCTAAGAGGCTTGAACAATGAAATGTGAACTGATCCCTGGCACAGGAAACCATGTCTCTGCTGCTAAACCTGCACTCATTTCGCTTAAAATGGTTTCAGGCAATGCTGGTCTACTACTGTAGACCAAATATGGACAGCGTGCATATAACGCTGAACATTACCGACCAATGTGCAGCGCTGCTAATTTCCGCTCATTGCCTTTTACCCTGACTGCACGTGATGTATTTTAACAGATGTGTCAAATCAGTTTCAAATGAAATGCTTTCTAGGATTACATGTTTGTAACACGAGCTCATTAATTCACAGATGAAGAGCTGGAAGACAGCAAAACATTAAAAAATCAAAGATTGGTGTAAATGTTTTATTGATGCATAAATTCCTGTTGCATTTGGCAGATGAGGGGTGTGTTCAGAGCATCAATGCACCTTCTTATTTCTGTATAAAAGTGGACACAGCCAGCCCACAGACACCCATATCTGATTATTAGTGCTAAGCAACAGACTAATAAAATACTAGAATTTCACTCTATACAACAGAAAACTTCTTGGGTGTGCTATACCACACAGAAAATTCAAGAAAAACACAGTGGGGAGATCCAGGTCACTGACTGGAAATAGTGGAATTGAGGCCTAGCGAGCGCCTACAGGCTGCAGCATCCTGTGTTGGCCCACCTGCCAATTAAAGCCACCAAGGCCCTAAACTTTAGGCCTTACCCAGTGTGATTGCAGTAGTTATTGAAAAGTTCTGGTATCGACCTGATACCAGTACCAGCTACTGATACTTTTAACTTTGTGTAGGCAGCTTATGTAGGGAGGAGAAGTGCGTTGTGACTTATTTGATGAGTCACTGTCATTTTGCCAATTCTGAATAAATCAACTAACAAAACTGATGACCACAAAATCAATGTGATTTGTACTTTCACTTTTACAACATGCTTGTATCGATCAGTACCAATACCGATGTTGGCATGCTTACTATCGGTTTTTGGATTGTTCCGCCCACCTCTAGTTATTGTAAAACACAGTATCATAGGAGAAAACTTGAAATATTTATTTACATGGAGGCCAAAACAGTTTTTGTACCAGGCTGTAAACATGCTGCGGTGATGCTTTTTGAAGTTGTGCATTTTAACATGGGAGTCTTTGGGTTTGACTCACTTTTGAAAACAGCCTCAAGTGGCTACTAGAGGAATTGCAGGCTTTGGAGCTCCCAAAATTGATTTTTTATTTTTGCTGTTTTTGCAGCTACAGTTGACAGTTGCCCCCAAGGCATTTCAGAAGTTGATGTCATAAGAAGTTATAAGGATACATTCACTGTACTCAGCTCTAAAAATCTTACAAACTAATGACTACTGTAATTCTTTATTATTAAGTGTTCCTGAAAACTCCCTGAGAAGCTTTCAGTTGATCCAAAATGCTGCACCAAGAGTACAGACAGGGACTATAAAGAGAGAGCATATTTCCCTAATACTAGCTTCTCTTCATTGGCTCCCTTGTAAATCCAGAATCACATTTAAAATCCTTCTCCTCACATGAATAATCAGGGTCCATCTTATCTTAAAGACCCCACAGTACCATATCACGCCAACAGACCGCTTCTCGCTCAGACTACAGGCTTACTTGTGGTTCCTAGGATATTTAAAAGTGGAATGGGAGGCAGAGCCTTCAGCTTCCAGGCACCTCTTCTGTGGAACCAGCTCCCAATTTGGAGTTAAAAGACGGACACCCTCTCTACTTTTAAGATTCAGCTTAAACTTTTCTTTTTGACAGAGCATATGGTTATTAATAATAACTCTTCTTCTCTTCCACAATGTGTCTTTTGTCCTGTCTTCCTCCATCCCCAGCTGGTCGCGGTGGAGGTTTCTTCCTCTTAAAAGGGAGATTATCCTTCCTTACTCATAGGGGATCCACTTGAGATGACTGCTGTTGTGATCTGGTGCTGTATAAATAGAATTAAATGTTTATGATTGTGCTTAGTGATTAGGGTTAGTGGTTAAACCTAGTTTATAGCCCGGTTAAACCTGGTGACAGAGAACGCTTTTAGCCAATATGTGAGAATGACTGTAATCTGAATGACATCAGACTATTCAGTGTGCTTACCAGCATCACTGGGAGTGTACCCACCAACTTTGTAGTGGACTGAATGAAAGATTGTCGAGAAAGTGAAGATAAATTCTCCAATCATGAAACAGATTCATGAACTACCCACCGTGTCTTCTTCTAATTGGGACTGGAGTGTTTTTGTTCAGACCGCGTCCCATTCTTTCCCCCCTCAGACTGTTTTTAGAAGGGTCAAATCTATCTCAGCTGTTATCAGTGTCATGTCACGCTGTTCTGTGGGTGTCTGTGTGTGCGCATGTGTGTATCTGTGTGTCATGCAGTGCAGCTTCATAAGCTCCTTTATCAGCCGGGAGACACCCTCCTCCCCAGACTCCCGCTGTCTCTTTTCATTTTTCCCATACTTTCACACACGCGGGGCCACACATGCTTCTGCTTTCTCTCTCTCTCTATTACACACACACACACACACACAAACACACACACAAACACACACAAACACGCACTCCTTGTGCACACACAGCCGGCTTAACTCCCCCCTTTTTGGGCATCTGTGTAAACAAATGTCTCATGCACAGGTGTATAAAGAAAGGAATGGGTCTATTAATCCTGGCTTACTTATTGTTTGGCTAATAATAGCGCGCAGCAGCCTTTTGCTGATAGGTCTATTATTCCCAGACAGCAAGGTGGATTAATAGGAAGCTGGGATTAATACTCATCCCCAGCTCTATGCATGACCTCCTTCCTGTCTGCTGATTGTCTGTCCTTGTCTTAATTACCTCTTATGGAAATGGGCTTTATAATTACAGAAAGTCATCTTACCCTTATTTTATTTTATTTTTTAAAAAAAGTGATGTAACTTAACTAAGACTGATCTTAAAATGATATTTTTCTGGGTGAACTTTGGTAGAGGAGGAACAGTGCTCACCAGCTGGTTATCTTGTGGAGAAAACCAGCCAAGCCCAAAGTATTTATTAAACCATCACCAAACATTCAATTGACTATTAAACAAAAACAAGCGAGGAGGCATTCGTCTTACATTTTCTGAACCCCACCCCCTAAGCGCACTCTCCCCCACCCCACCTTTCTAGGATTCTCGCTCCAGCTCCAGCACAGGAATAAGCAGAGGAGCACGGAGGAGGAAAAGAAGACTTTGTCCACGGTGTCTCCGCTCAGATGCATCACCGCCCTGCTCTTTTAATGGGGCAGCGCTGAACTTTGAAGTTCGGGGGGAAGCTTCTCCGAAGTGCGCTAATGTGAGTTCTGAACACAAGGAGACATGTCAGCCGCTCAAGGACTTCTAAACAGCGTCTTTTCCTGCTCGTCCCCTGCCTCCAAAGCCATAACCAAACGCAGGCTACGCCAGACCCGGAGCCTGGACCCCGCCATCATCAGACACTGCGGCACCGGGAGCGATGGAGCGGCCGCAGACACAGGTGCGTCCGCCGAGCGCTTGGCTGTGAAGCCGGCTTTACGCACCAAGATCCCGACCCTGAAGGAACCTATAACCCCTTCCATCTCCTCTCCTTCCATACCTCTGGATGTTTCCCCGTCCTCCAACTTCCACTTTGACTATGATGTGGTTAAGCGTGCCAAAAGGAATACCGCCGGGGATTTACCGTTTATGGTGAGGGGAGCTGGTGCCGCTCCCTCAGGGAGCACCGGCACGCTGTTTTCCCCGCGGAGGTGGCTACAGAAGAAAGTGCAGCCTTCCAGCTCTCACTCTTACGTCGTGTGGAAGTCAGAGGTAAACCCCCTTCCCAGGGTGACAGGTTTTTTCTTCTTTTGGTGGCCAAAAGGAACAGATTAAAACGAAATCCCACTCTTATCTTTCAGCTTGCTAATTAGTTTTCTTACATGAATGCATATGATACATATTTGTGGGAGTTATGTGCCCTCCAACCCCATCGCTTTACTTGAAGTACATTCTTGAGCGTCTGTGAGAGAGCTCCTGGAACAATTAGGACAAATTCTTTCAGCATATGGACTCAAGACAATTCCAGTGAGCGCCAGTAGAGACATAACTGCTTTTTTGGGGTGGGGGGGGGAGATCGATACTTTGTTTCTAGCCTCTTAAGTTTCGTGTGTAGCCTGCTGACTTGTGTTAAATGCATAATTTAAAAAGAAAATGTTCATATTAACTTCGTAAATGAAAAAATATACCTCAAACATGCTCTATCAAAAATATCTGAACCTCTCGTGTTGACTGTATATTTTATTTGTAGCCTGTAGCACATTTAAACAACAGAAATTGACCCAAAGTGCTTTAGAGACAGACAATGTAAATTCAAGGTTTCCAAAAACCCAGTTTAAAAAAGATGAAAAGCTAAAAGATGTGTGTTTTCTAATTTCATTATGTAATTATTGTGAAAAGTAAATATCACAGCGACTGATTACTCATTCAGAATGTGCTTTTATAAGGTTAAAGTATTGGTATCAGCAGTCCTGGCCCTGCATTTACTTGATATCAGATCGATACCAAAATTGCACAATGCTATCTGAAATTCGACCATGACCTGAGGTAGCGAGATGTTGGAGCTTTACCTAAAAGATTTATGGGTTTTAAAAGACAGGGAATGTTTAACCCGGCCATGACCTCTGCACCTGAAAGCCCTACAGTACCAAAGCAGTACCATTTCAGCCTGGAAAGTGCTTTTTTTTCCTAGTCTGGCCCAAGGGCACATGGGTAATTAACTCAGGGGGAAGGGATAGCTCTGGTCCACCTCTCCCACCTGGATTTTTGTTTCTCCCTTGGTTGCATGGTCATTACTGTGTTTTCAGTCTTTGTGGGAGTCACACCTTATCCTGGGAAAGCAAAAGAAAATCTTACGGCACTTTGAGGATTAAATCACTCCAACAAAAGGTGCAATGAAGTGTCGATAGATTTCTCCCTCCTACTGTTGTCATCATTGGGCTGCTTTGGCTTTTGTCTTCATATAGATGTCAAACTGAGTGTGAATATGGGGCAGGCAGTAGATGAAATCCTTACCAAAACATACTTGGGGGACTTCTTTTAAGTGTGTGTTTATGCGTGGGGGGGGGTGCATAGTTGGCACGAGTCCATCTGTACTCTGTCTGGAAAGGTATAATTTTTCTGCTTCTTTAAGCACTTAGTCTCCTTTTCTGCATATTTTGCTTGTATTTGATTGGAAGTGTGTGTGTGTGTATGTGTGGCGGTATTTGTGTGTGTGTTGATATGAGGGGCTTAAGGACACATGGCCGGGGACTTGGTTCTCACGACTGCGAGCAGTCACAGGGTCAAAAGCACGCAGCCATCAAACAGCTCCCCCATCATTTCCCATTAAAAGGAACGGCTCCAGCTCCGCTCTCTGTTTTACTTTCTTGCAGCACGCCTCTTCTTTCTTTCTCACACTCGCACGCACAGACGCAGGCGTCCATACTCGCATTTTCCTCCCTCTCCTCTTCTGCGAGATGTCTCGAGGTTCTCAGAGAGCGGCGTTTCCCATCACTGTAAGCCTGTTTAAGTTGCAGTTTCCACCCCCCGATTGGGGCCAACATTAGGCCATCGGTATGGAGTCATTAGTGCAATCTGGACCGAAGTTATTGCACCTCGGAGTGTTTGTAAAATTATGGAGCCAAGAAAGTGTTACTGGTCTACTGAGATGTGTCAAACACCTATGGGTGTGAAGTAAAACTCTGAAATGAAGTGTAAGCATGTATTTAATAGTGGGAATCGAAAGAATTTTGCTTTTAACATTAGTTAAGATGCAATTAGTTAATTCTTTTCCAAGGTTGACATGACCGGGGGGTGTTGAACATGTTAACTTATGGGGCACGTGGATAAAAGCCTAGTCACAAAGAGTTAGAAGCCATTGGGCAACCATCTGGCAACCACAAGGGAAAATGTGGAAAACAACTTCAGATTGCCTTGGTTGGTAGCAGATTGCCACAGTGGCCTGTAGTTTGCACAGAAGATGCCAACTGGTCTGCGAACACTTGACAACTACTCTCCGAGCGCTAGTCAGGCTGTGAGAAGTGTGACACAAACCGGACACGGAGACTGCTTGCCTTCAAAATAAATGTTGTGGCTTTTGAAGAATGTTGGCTGCAGCACCGAGCAACTTAAACTGTAAACTACAGGCAAGGATTGCAAGGAGGATTTTGGTGCAGCACCCTCTTTGCAGCCTAGCAACAGCCAACAACCACTCACCAATATTTCGGCTTAATGACCGGTGGTTGCCAAGGGGTCATCAGACAGCGTTTGAACAATGTGCGCATGATGTCATGTGAGAAACCTGTATACTTTGGCTCTCCTCAGTATTAATCCTAACTATGAAATTCGCATGATTTCATTTCCACTCATGACAAATGTAATCATCACAGCTTAATGAAATCAATAACACATGGTTTTTAAATACCCATTCACCAGAGGAACTTCCAATTCAGAGAAATAGCAAAAGAATGATTCATCAACCTGTCAATCTCAATTACTCTGGATGCTTTTTAAAAAGCACTTACAACTTGTTTCACTTAAAAAATTGCAGTTTTAAAAAGATAAACAATTAAAAAAACTGAACATGGCTTGTCTGGACGGGTTGCCAGGAGAAAGCCTCTACTCTCTAAAAAGAACATGACAGCACAGATTAATTTTTCAAAGCCTTCTGGATCAATGTCCATGGACATACAAGACCACAGTGGAGATGTTTGGCCATAACACACAGCACCATGTTTGCACTGACATACTGTGTTTGGTTTTTACAAAACTCATCATAACAACTGTCAAGCACAGTGGTGGAGGCGTGATGATTTGGGCTTTGTTTCCAGCCATGGGACTTGGCCACCTTACAGTCATTGAGTCAACCTTGAACCCGTCTGTATACCAAAGTATTGTAGAGTTTAATGTCAGGCCATCTGTCTGGTTGCTAAAACTTGGATGAAATTGGGTCATGCAGCAGAAAAATGATCCCAAGCACAGCAGTAAATCTACAATAGTATGGCTTAAAAAGAAAAGAATCACCTTTTAACCCTAGAGAACCCATGGGGTCAAATTTCACCCCATGGTTTCCCTAGAAAACCAATGGGGTCGGCTCTGACCCCATTGGTTCTCTAGGGTTAAGGTTGAAGCACCAGTCAAACTTTGACTGGTGCTTCAACCTTATTCAAATGGTGTGGCAGGACATTAAGAGTGCTGTGCATAAACAAACATCTGCACACCTCAATAAAATGAAGCAATGCTGTAAAAAAGAGTGGATCAAAATTCCTCCATAACGATGTGAATGATACTAAAAGGGCATATGGTAAAAGGTTTATTTGGTTATTCTCAGGACTGCATAGATTCCCATGAAAATCTTCTTTGTCACACGCAAGTTCAAAATGAAAATATACCTTCAGTAATAAAAATAAGAAATAGTAGGCTGAGATAACCCTGACTTTTCAGCTTTCGTATGCCTCAGATAAGTTCATAACACACTGAATCCTGATTTTGAATGACGCAATTTAGACGCTCAATCTTCAATTTTCTTTTTAATGTTCAACTGATAAATCAGATAACCTTGAAATGACATCACTATGACATCATCAGGAGACAGCTCTCTTGTTAATTTTGTAAAATATTATTGTATTTAGAGTTAAATACACAATAAAGAGGGGTGTGCTTTTTAGGGTGGACCTATGTTGTCGATGTACCCCTCTGTTGTGATGTCTGTTTTAAAAAAGAAGATAGAGATGGCCAGAATAGTCAAATTAAGCCTTCATAATGAGACTTTACAGACCAACTGGTGACATCCAGATGGTTACATTGATCTTTCGTGTACAGTCTACGAGAAGAACTGCGAGGTTGCTGCTGATGCAAATGCACTGCATCAACATTATCACATTACCTCTAACGAGGGCATATTTGTGTTGTTTTATTGTATGTATTAATAACATAACAAATGTTTAAAGATAAAGGTAGACCAGCACTGCAATATCAGTGATGTAAATGCAGGTGCCAGTTCATGCATCGCTATCTAGTCAAAGTTCGGACATTTGCCCAGATAGAGATCCCACTTTAAATCATTTGCATGTGTACTACTGAGTGTGTATGCATGTGAACAGGGCAACCTGTGCAGACTGGTCTCAACCTATGCCTTTTTAAGGAGGGAGATATGGACAGAGAGGAAGAATGAAAGGGTGAAACATAGATGGAGTGAAGCAAAGCCTGACAGTTATATTGGCCACGATTGCTTAGCAGCTAAATTTTTCCACGGCCAGGTTGTTGATGTTGAAAGAGCAAAAAGAGATGCAAAAAGAAAAAGAAAAATTCATCAGGCAGTACCCTCTGTGTTATTACAGTAGGAGAGGGGGGTGTGTGTGTGTGTGTGTGTGTGGGGGGGGGTGTCAGTGACTGGATGTGGTCCTTCTCGTGGAGTTACGGGCTCCAAAATTGGACACCGTATCAACACATGTTCTTGCAAAATAGCACGAGTATAAAAACAATGTAGGGTTTTATAGGCACATTCAGACACTGGTATTTGAAAGTTTAGCATTTGAAGCATGCGCTGAACCTACACGAGCGCCGCTGTATTTCCAGGTACGCGCACAGAGACGGACACGCGCGAAGGCTCGGAGAGGAAACAGTGGTCGGCTAATTTAATCTTGCTTGTTTATGGGGCTCCAGATTGTTGACATTGTAGATCCTATTTTTAGAACCACTTACTCTAATGCTTTACAGAAGAGACTTAGTATGAAAAGAAATGTTACTAAATGATTGATAACAGATGACTTTGAGAAACTTAGCGCTGGGTC